GGGGAGGTTCTATAAATTTCTAACATATTTTCTCAGACAGGGTTACCTAAATACTTAACAGTAAATTACCAGCTCTTATTCAAGAAACTAACTAAAATACACATTAAACTCCATAACCCCTAAAATCCCATAGCCTATATGCAAACTTGGTTACACAATCAAAACCTCTTGAGACAATCTGGCAAATAACATGTCAGCCAAAGCTATATAGCCTGATTCCAAAATTTAATATATGAACAAAATAGCACTGAAAGCCCAATCAGTGCTGAGTGTGAACATGATATCAACTTTTTATTACATCTCATTTCACCACTAAAATTTAAATAAACTACAACTAAGCCCTGAGTACCATTCAAAGTGTATAAAAATCATGAGCTATTTTTCCTGATTCTTTAGTTAAACATTGTACCTGAACACAAAGAATTATCTTTAGAATTTGAGAAATCAAACTCACCATATTTTACGTCCCCTTCTTGTGTTCTTCCATCAACCCTAAGTTTTATGAGGACAATACTAAAAATAGCATAGAAGATTTTTGTACACACAAGAGCATTTGCAAACCCTTTCACTACTTCAAAATTTCCATAAAGAGATCCAAATATCCCCAGTCTTGCAGAATAAGACCAGGACAGTTAGTCTAAACAAGTCCAATGACAATGGGAAGAGAAGAACCTGTCACAATATATACTGCTATTAAGCACCAGAGAACCATCTCCAACAGAGGTTATTCTATTGTCAACAAACACCATATCAATTTCGTAACCATGGTTATCCTTTCCAATCCACCAAAGTGCCTATGAAGATCATAGTAAAAGGGTTTACTTTTTGGCAGCCATTCTTGTGCAAAACTTACCTACTTTCAGTCCCTGAAGAAGAGTCTGTTTTCTGACTTTGCACTCTTAAGGCAAAAATCAAAACTGATTGGAAATGAAAAACATCAAGACCAGGTAATAACCTTTGTACTAGAATCTAAAATCATATTTCACTTCCCTATCAAACAAACAGTTATTAGCTCGAATCTTCAAGCTAAAAACAAACCTCAAGTAGGCTGAATCAGTCCGTTGTAAACAAACCTGTGGGGGGCTGTGTGACTCTAACCGACAGCAGCGCGTTCGAGAGCCACTTACGGGGTCCCGAGTAGTGCCGGTCCCTCCATCTCAACTCCCTGTCCGCTCGGTGTTCTGAACCTCCTGATCCAGCTGACCCCTCACGGTCACGTTCTCCTGCCCTTCCACGGCTTCCGCCAGATCGGCTGTACAGAGATCAACTTAATCAAAATCATGGGGGGAGGGGGGGTCTAAATCACTCCTGCAGCATATATTATCATTTCAGTGCGTATATTTTCCTTTTATAGGTTTGGGTTCAAAACCGTGCATGCAAACTTTCTCACCTGCGCACAGAAGAGTATCCAAACATGTCATCAGAGAACATAGCATCTGCATCAATTATTACAGAGGGATGGTCAGCAGCAACAGAAATTCCAGCATCCAAGAGGGATATGAGGTCTTCAGGTACATAGGAATCTCCACTTTCCTCAGGTTCTTCTACATCCTCATCATCTCTTGACAACAGGTTATTCACTGCTAAGTTCACATCCAAGTTGGTACGCTACAAAGATGAAGAAAGTTTTTATTCGTAATTGTTCTTGAAAACAAACTCTGACAAAGAAAAATCACTATGACAGTGGAAGAATAATATAGGAAAGATAAATAAAAAGGGTTCTAACCTGTAATTCTCTAATGATTAGATTACGACTCCGGCCCTGAAGGACTACCTGAGCCTGGGAAATGAGTTCTTCCGGCACATACTGGGCAGGGAGCATGGGTCGCGAAGAGCCCATGATAACCCCCGTGCCACGCCCTCTCACTCCCCCTGACCCAGAAGTCGTGCGCACAATCCTTCTTCCTCCAGTGGACATGCGAGCTGTCAACTTGGTGCTGCTCTGGTTGTTGCTCTTGTTGCAATTCCTGCTGAGAAGAAAGCAGAAATATTGATAATTAACAACAGCACTTTACTGTTTCAGTGTCAGACTGTAAATCTATATTCTTTATGTACTAGCAAATCTTCCGAGTCTACAAATGCTACCAAATCAGCATATATTACACCATGAATAAGTTTCTTCCTTACCCTTGCTTATGATCTGCCTTGTTGAGATCCAAGGCATCTGTATTGATGGAAAAGACAAGCCTTGCAACTCGTCCATCTTCAGTGAGCACTGCAATGTGTGATGGACCAATAGCAACTTGTCTGATGTTTTCTCGTAGCCCTGCCACAGCACTCACACCAACACCGCCCGACCAATTTAAACGTAATCCTAATTCTTTCAATCTGGAAAAAAAGTTCATAAAAACAATTTAAAAATCAACAGAGGAAGTTAGCATGCATCATACATGTACACTCACTCACTCACTCACTCACTGAGAGAGAGAGAGAGAGAGAGAGAGAGAGAGAGAGAGAGAGAGAGAGAGAGAGAGAGAGAGAGAGAGAGAGAGAGAGAGAGAGAGAGAGAGTGTGTGTGTGTGTGTGTGTGTGTGTGTGTGTGTGTGTGTGTGTGTGTGTGTGTGTGTGTGTGTGTGTGTTTATAAATGTTTGTTTGTTTGTAAATGTTTGTGTGTTTGTAAGTGTATGTGTGTGTGTTTGTAAGTGTATGTGTGTGTGTTTGTAAGTGTATGTGTGTGTGTTTGTAAGTGTATGTGTGTGTGTTTGTAAGTGTATGTGTGTGTGTTTGTAAGTGTATGTGTGTGTGTGTGTGTGTGTGTGTGTGTGTGTGTGTGTGTGTGTGTGTGTGTGTGTGTGTGTGTGTGTGTGTGTGTGTGTGTGTGTGTGTGTATGCATGCATGCATGCTTGTTCATGTCTCTCTCTAGATAGATATATAAATAGTTACATATACAAAAGATGGATATATCCACTGAAAGTCTATATCTGTATATTCATAGTTCAATAACTTTATTTTCATGCTCCCTCCTCCCTAACAACATACAAAGAGTTCTTTAGTTTAACCTTCCACACAGAAAACAGCTGTCCAATAACACGTGAAAAAGATATACAAAAAAATATATATATATAAATATGAAACATTTATGCCTCCATCTCATTTTATTCATGTGTAAAAAAAAATAATAATAATAATAATAATCTAAGCAGGACAGGAGACCACGTTTGGAGAATTACAAACAAATTATGTTATGATCTTTTTGTGAGAATGAGAATAAGAATCTGGGTGTGATGTAGAGTAAGCGTGAATGTAACAGTCTGTGCATATATGCAAGTGAAAGTGAGAGGGCGTGGTTAAAAGCAAAATGATAGTGGTAGTGATAGCAAGTGTGATAGTGAGAGTGAGAGCAGGGGAGAGAGGGGGAGAGAGGGGGAGAGAGAGGGAGAGAGGGAGAGAGGGAGAGGGGGAGAGTGAGAGTGAGAGTGAGAGTGAGAGTGAGAGTGAGAGTGAGAGTGAGAGTGAGAGTGAGAGTGAGAGTGAAAGTGAGAGTGAAAGTGAGAGTGTGTGTGTGTGTGTGTGTGTGTGTGTGTGTGTGTGTGTGTGTGTGTGTGTGTGTGTGTGTGTGTGTGTGTGAGGGTGTGTGTGTGTGTGTGTGTGTGTGTGTGTGTGTGTGTGTGTGTGTGTGTGTGTGTGTGTGTGTGTGAGGGTGTGTGTGTGTGTGAGGGTGTGTGAGAGAGAGAGAGAGAGAGAGAGAGAGAGAGAGAGAGAGAGAGAGAAGAGAGAGAGAGAGAGAGAGAGAGAGAGAGAGAGAGAGAGAGAGAGAGAGAGAGATGGAATTGTGTGACAAAAATTGGTGCTTATAATCCATTACTTAGAAACAGGAATGAACTTTTATTTATGTTGGTGTAGCTCAAAGGAGGAACAACTGACAAGTCTCTTCCCTGTAATTAACTGCAAACACTCCCTAGAGACTAAATGCATATGCATATGTCAATTAAACATCCCTAATGAGCTCAAGGTTTCTCTAATAATCAAAATCACATACTAATCACAGAAAATAATTTCTATTAAAGTAATATTTCTATGGAGACAACTATGATTCAAGATAAAAGCAAATGAAAGCCTACAATATCCTCATTTCTCATTTGTAGCCACTTCACTAATGAATAAACACTGCCCAGTGGTTAGAAACTGCTTAGGGGTTACTTAAAACACCTGGCATAGTCCAAAATTTAGAACTGGCTACTAGTAAATCTACAGGTTGCAATCCAGGATAGTCAATATGCCTCACTATTTATTAATTTTTTTCCAAAAATATTACAATACTGATGGTTTGCAAAGGCACCAATAACTAACACTAGCTATATAATCTTTCCTTTTGAACTTATGCAACCGAGATATCTTTCTGTCTTTTAACATTCCCATGACAGCCAGAGTTTGAGAGTACACTTGGATTCTATACAGTTATTACATAAAACAAATAATAAATAAGGTAATAGCATGTCCCCTGTGTAGTAGCCAATAAAAGTGAAATTAAAGGAGTTCCATGTGAGCAATGCCTCAATTAATAAATGGACACCCATAATTATATGGCCAATCAAATATATGCCTACTAAAAATACTAACAACAGAATTTTTTTCTCAGAGCCTTGGATAAAAGCAATCTTAAAACAATATCTGTCAAGTTCTGTACTTCTTCATAATTCCCTCTGTGAAAAAAGCTGAGTGAGGTCCTATTTAGATTGTGCTTTGAAATCACTTCTGGCTACATGCACAGCAAACTTTCTTTCCCAATTTATCATTTTCTTTAAATTGCTCACTGTCTATACCATTAACATGAAGGTTTTTATAGGATGCTGAGAAGTAGCACTAAAAGCTTTACTTGCCATTGCAACTCTATCACCACCCTTGCTAAAGTTTGTGTGGTTCTCTGTAACTTTCATGAACTGATGGCTGTGAATATTTCTGAAGAAACTCAGGGGTAAACTAATAAATATTACTTTACAACTGAATGATACATTGTTATGATTACACATGCAATTTCTACAATTCACAATCTCGATTTTATTCTGTTCAGCACGTTTTCATCTCTTTAGTTCTAAAGAATGCAAGCTTCACTTAAATCAGTAATTACAATCCTTGAACAGAAATCATTATTCAATGTATTTGAATGAGATGCCCATAATGAAGATTAACTCATTGCTGATGGGAACGGCATGTGCACACATACCTACCCATTGAGTTTAGTCTAGTAAATGTGTATACATAAATGGCTACACATGTGCTTAGTCACCAGGGAGTTCATTATTAATCATACCTATATTAACTATTTACTCCTTACCTTGATTTTTTGGCATATACAGATAGTTCCCTACTTAAGAACATTCAACTTATGAACATTCCATACATACAAAATTTTTTAAGTACTAAAGTCCAAAAAATTGTTTGAAAGATGCTAGCAAACTTAAGATTTCCCGGGCACGAATATAGTTCATGAGTCTGGTACTGTATAAGGTATTTTGTACTTATTGGGATTTATTTACAGGTATTCTTAATGTAAACAAAACTTTAAAACAATGGGAAAAAAGGTAATGGAGACCAGACTTTCAAAATACAAACAAAACAACTTACAAACAGCCTCTCGGTCCCTATTATGTTCTTAAATTGGATGCTTACTGTACTTTACATCTCATATTCTTATTAGTATAAATAATAATAATAAATGTCAATTATAATAATAGCAGCAATAGCATAAAAAAAAAGCTAAAATTCAAGGAAAGTAGAAGTCAAGTGAGGCTACATAGGTTGAATTGACTCCTTGGTGGCTGAGCACTTGCAGAGCCATCTATGCATACATACATTTCACAAAACAGAACTGCAGTGAACATTACGTGTTCCTAGTGGCATTGAGTGAACTAAACCTAATGATTCTAAATACATTACTCAACTACACAATCCCTCGGTCTTAGAGACAAGAATTTTAACTAATTTCTGAAATAACTTCCAGGCCATATGCAGCAACAACGTAAATACAGGAATATCATTCCATGATAATAACACAATGATATAACCAATTCTACAGAACCATCATTTCATAACAGACAACTACGCATCCCCCATCATACAGTGTGAAGTCAATGCCAAGGCCTCTGCCCTTTGGTTGCCAGCAAAGGAAAACAAACTTCCAAGTATAATCAGGTATAATCGGGCAAGAGTTAGGACCGATTCCTTATTTGAAATTAAATTGCCAGGAAGATATAAAAGCTTCACTTAATTCAACACATGTATTGGGGCATTGCTGGCATTTACAAGATGCACAGCTAGTCTCTGGCAGGTGTTAGGGCATCTTCAAGATCACTACCAAAAAATGCATTAGGTAGATTTTGACCACAATGTTTAGAGAATATACAATGCACACTCTGGACCAATTGAGAGAAGGCCACGATTATCAAGTCTAAGGATCTACACTCATGCGGCTAAGTACGACGACACCACAGCCTATGTGCTTCAAGCTCCAGGGAAAAAAAAAGAGAAAAATATCCTCCACCACATGCTTTCTAACACAACAAAGTAAACTGCCTTTTTTGTCCATTTCCCGTCCAATAAGGAAGGAGTCCAGGCTCCACCTAGCCTAATATACGAGGGAGGTTTGTTAGCTTTTGCCAGAGTGCGGAGAAATGGAGATAATTGCACTGCTTTGTACAGCTCTATTTCAAACAATTGCAATGCCTTAAAACTCGTTAATCTATAAGTTTCACGTACTGTTTGCCCTGTATTGATTAATGTCCCAAAATGTTATGTTTCGTATTTTCTTCGGTTTATCTTAGGTCAGTGTCTACCTTATAGAGAGAGGTTTCTAACACAAAGTATTATCTCTACATAATTTAATGATTTTCTTATAAATTCCTTAATCAACATGACTCCTGAAATTTAAAAAAAAAAAAAAAAATGTAACAAGAGACTTGAATAATTAAGAAATTAAATAAATGCTACAACTACTGATAAGTTTTAATCAAGATTCTGCAAGTCATCCTTCATAATTTCTAATAGTAATTAATAATTCTAATCATAATTTATAAATTGTGTCTCTAAAATAAGGGGAAAAAAAATCTATATGAAAACCTCTTAAAAAAAAATTACCGACAGAGCGAAATATAACAAGCAATAGCCGAAACATTCTACAATTTCCCAATTTTCCTCCTTCTTTCTCCCTATTTCAAAGCACAAAACCACAGCGCCTTAACCCTGAGGAAGCCGAGGAAAAGCGAGAGGAAAAGAAACACGAAAAAATCAAGAAAATGGCGATGAAAACATGTTGCTCGTCGAGGAAAAATGTTGCTATTGCCCCCCAAACCCAAGACCCCATTTTTATTTTCGCATTTTTCATGTCTTTTCTCACCTTTCATTGAGCTGATCTTCGGTCCCCGGCAGAGGGTGGATGACGCAGTGCAAAGAGGTCATCCTGGCGACACACTAGACCCTAGAAAGACCCTAAAAAAAGCTGGAAAAGTGTGAGTCAAGCATATTGTCTGCACGAACTCCCACCCGCCATGTTGTCTTCTTC